GCCTCCAGGTTGACCTACAGTGTGTGCCGCGTGATCACATTGACCGAGTCACCGACCATGATATCAGCGCCAGCTCGTATCACAAACCAAAAGTAGAGGTGCCAGGTCGTGTCTGTGGGCTGGGCGTGACCTACGCCACGGCCATTGTCTCAGTTCAAAGTCGAATCTTCTTTGAAATGTCTCCAGAGGAGGGAGAATCACTGCTGTTACTGCTGAAATAATCATGGAGCTGCAGCACAAAACCGGCATCTGTTGGAAGCAGGAGAAGACAATAAGGCTCTTTCATCAATAGTAATCACCACCATCCTCCCATTACCATTTCCTGTTAGTGTATAAGAGCCAAAACTAATGGATTCTGGATCCAATTTACCGACAGTGGTATTCATTCAGAGCCATTATATTTGGGATTAATATTATTGCTTTGTCACCGAGTCAAAATTTCTGCAGATTAAAGTTGTACCCTGGTGTGTTATATTTTTTCCACATAACAACAGAGGAACACTGCAAACGGAGTTGATTAAACTGAGGCTTCAACATCTGCCAACGCTGAACAAAAGCTTTCCTTCACAATTTTTATTATGTCTAAAAGAAAGGCAAAAACTGCACAAAAAAAGGGATGAAAAAGTCTTTTAAATTCATTTTATTTATAAAATTATTTTATTTAAGCAAAACAATAAGCAGATAAATATAGTTTAAAAAAATTATATTTTTGTTCTTTAACTTCACCTGTATGTACAGGTGGTCCTCAACTAGCATGGTACGGTGCGATGTAATTCTATTTTAGCTGTCACTCACATACTGTACATACAATGGTGCACGTAAACAAAGCCGTCTTCCGTATACAGTGCCCCTGTACGACGCATCTGTTCCCCTTCAACATACTTGACTAGATTTAACACCATAATTCGGAATGATGAAACATGACTTCCTTATTGAATTTATGGCAGATGGTGATGTAGCCACAAAACGCCGTAGTTTGAGATAGACAAAATGTCTTTGTTCTGTTTGACCTTTTCTACCTTTGGTGTTTTTGCCTTATACATTATTATCATTTATTATCATATCGTACATTTAATCTCAGCTAGTTTAGCTGTGTTTACCTAAGCTTTACGCTAACTTTTGGCTATCACATTTCTAGCGTTATTTTTATGCTAATGTTTTTCCTATATATTGGACTAGCGTCTAGCTAATGTTTCTATTTGTTCAGGACATAATTGAACATGACTGTTGGTCTGTTGGATGATCTCTGATATTTTTATTCTTGGGTGTCATTCGTGTTTGTCGTTGCAGTGGTGTGGTTTCCTATAAGAC